ACAAACACACATCGGTATACCGCACTCACGTACACGATCTATATATATCTATATATATATATATATATAATTATACAACACATACAACATTAATTATAGTTATAACTGAAGCTATACTACACGTGCACACACACGCGTGACTTCATGTCACGTAGGAGTACTGTTAGATGCTAGGAGTATGTATAGATGCTACGTAGGAGCGTCCAAATGTTCTTGGGACTTCGCGCCGGTTTTCCTGTACCTAGCTCTCGCTATGACGTTTATGACGTTGGAAGGGAGCGATGGTGATTATAAAGTGCTTATATATGCAGTCATTTAATGATCGTGGCGCTGTAATGTGGCTCATGGCCGTGATACTAAGAGCTGCAGCTGGAGGTTAGCTCTCTCTCTCTCTCTCTCTCTCTCTCTCTCTCCTTTCCTCTCTTCTCTCTATTCTCTCTTTCTCTCTCTCTCTCTCTCTCTCTCTTCTTTTCCCCTCTCGCTCTCTCTCGCTCTACTCGCTCTCTTCTCTCACTCTCCCGCTTTCTCTCTCTCTTCCCCCCACTCCTCTCTTCCTCTCTCTCTTCCCCCCTTCTTTCTCTCTCTCTTCCCCATCTCTCTCGCTCTCTCTCTCTTTTCCTCTTCCCCCCCCTTTCTCTCTCTCTCTCTTCTCTCTCTCTCTCGTTCTCTCTCTCTCTCTCGCTCTCTCTCTTACTCTCTTTCTCTTGCTCTCTTTCTCGCGCGCTCTCTCTTTCTTTTCCTCTCTCTCTCTCTCTCTCTCTTTTTTTTTCTCTTGCGCTCTCTTCTTCCTCTCTCTCTCTCTCTCTTTACTCTTCTTCTCTTTGCTCTCTCTTGCTCGCGCTCTCTTCTCTCCTCACTCTATCTCTCCGTATCTTAGTTTTCGGAATTCACTTCTCACGTCTTCCCTCTCTCTCTCTCTCTCTCTCTCTCTCTCTCTCTCTCTCTCTCTCTCTCTTTTCTCTCTCTCTCTCTCTCTCTCTCGTCTCTCATCTTTCTCTCTATCTCTATCTTTCTCATTTTTAACTTTTTTTATCGCTTTCTCTCTCTCTCTCTCTCTCTCTCTCTCTCTATCTCTACCTTTCTCATTTTAACTCTCTCTCGCCTCTCTCTCTCTCTATCGCTACCCTTCTCATTTTAACTATCTGTCTCTCTCTCGCGCTTATCTCTCTCTCTTTCTCTATCTCTACCTTTCTCATTTTAACTGGCCCTCTCTCTCTCCCTCCCTACCTCACCCTCTCCCTCATCTTTGCTTCAGGATTCTCTCCTGGAGGTCTTCGGTAAACCCGGCGCCGGTGCGCCGAAGAAGACGGCTTCCGGTATGCTGCGCGCGCGCGTGCGCCGTGACCCGGAACTGTACTTCCAGTCGGGGTCATCGTCGAACGGCATCGATACCAGACGCTATGCGGTCAGCGCTGACGCCGTGAGAGAGTACCAGCAACAACTCGACACCTTTATAGATTGCAAACAGAAGGTGAGAGCGAGCGGGAGGGCGTGGTGTGTTACCTGTAATACATGGTGAGAGGGGGGCGTGGTGTGTTACCTGTAATACATGGTGAGAGGGGGG